GTGTCTCTGGGTTGTTCACACTCTGATTTTAAATCCGACTCGTCCTATCAAGGAGTCAGGCGCCTCTGCAGCAGCCAATCAGCTGTTTGAAATGTCAGCTGTGCACTGAGCTCATTAGAATCCATAACAAAGCACATTTTTATCTCCACAGCAGGTAACGTGTGGAAAACAGTCAACAATGAGCTGATGCGGGCTGGGATCAGCTGATCCTCCAGGACTGCAGCTTGTCCTCGGTGCACTGAGCTCAGAGGCGACACGTACTCGCAACTTAAAGGTCAGAGGTCACGGACTACGATGGATTTGGGTCTGGGACTCCAAATCCCAAAGACGCTTTGTTAGTGAAAAAGCACCAACCAATGAGAACCAGTCAGCTGCAGCTGTGACGTTCCACGCTGCCTTTTCAGACACTGCTCACAAATAAGCAGAGTTGTTTCATTACATGCGTACATCCATCAGCCTCGTGTCGGCCTGCGAGCAGCAGCTGCTGTTGTGGCTTTAAAATTCAAACATGGCTTTTTGAAATGATTTTAAAACTGTGTCGTGTTTCTCTACCTAACAGTGGTAGAGTTCCCCTCGGGGAAATGGGACGATATAATCAATAATCAAAGGTTTCCTCTGGTTTTGCCCTGCTGTACGAGTGTGCACCTGATAGTTCTGCAGCAGTATAAGGCTGAGGTAGAACTCTGAGAAGGCCAGCTGCAGGTCCTTTATGTTCCTGTGCTTGCATCGTTCCTGCTGTGACAAGGCAAACACCGTCTTCCTCCTCCTCAGGCCCCGCCCACTGGCTGAGCTCTCCCTCTGTGCATCCAGCGAGGACTGCAGCTCGTTCTGCAGCGTGGCGAATCGCCGCTGAGCCTCTGCCAGCTTCTCTGGAAGGAGAGAGCGAGACACGGTAAAGACAGAAGAGACAGGATAATAAGAAGTCTTGGTGAGCCTTGAAACCAGTGCTAGCAGCTGTATTACCAGAATAGAAGGTGTTGATTTTGGCCAACTCCTTTTCACACATCTGGAAGAACTTCTCCTCAAATTTGGCATAGTACCGCTTGACAGTATCTTCATCTGTGACTGCAACAAGAGAGAAGCTGTTAGAAGAGCATCTCACAGCAGGAAACAAACCTGTGCGCACAGAGTTAAGGAAAAGAAACAAAGTGCATGAATAAAACTGGGCAAGTGTGTGACTGTGTGTGTGCAAAGGCCTGTGCTGCTGTGCTGCGACCAGCAGGGGGAGCAGTGAGCCGTCCAGCCCCTGTGCTGTGTGGAGATTCAGGATGGAATATGAACTCCACTCAGTCACTTCAGACTTTAAGCCTAAACATGGAAACTCTGCTGCAGCTTTCAGAAACACTGAGAGGACAGGAAGAGAAACTTAACTGAGACTTAAAGACTGTGTGAACAGATCAGCGGTGACACAGCAGCCGTCCTTCTGAATCACAGGTGTCCAGCTCCAGGCCTGGAGGGCCGGTGTCCTTGATCCAACACAGCTGATTTAAATCCTCAACATGTATCTGAAGTTCTCCAGAGGCCTGGGAATGAGCTAATCATGTGACTCAGCTGTGCCGACCCAGGGTGAGATCTAAAACCTGCAGGACACCGGGCCTCCAGGCCTGGAGTTGGACCCCCTGTTCTGAATGAAGCATCTGTATGTTTGTTATGTCACATTATTATTCAACTACTTTCCATCCAAATGAGAAACTGTTACACTGTAATCATGTAAGTGTGTTGACTGTCAGTATTGTGCACCTTTGGTTCCTATTCATCGAAAACAAACATGTGTAAGTGTTAGGAAGACATCCCTGCTGACTCTGGAAGCTCTCCTCTGATGGTTTATAGGCTCAGTCGCCAGTTTCAGGTCAAACTTCAAGTCCAGTTTGTAAATGTTGGTCAGTTGTAGTGACAGAAAGACAAAAAGGCACCTTATGATGGAGCAGTTTCAAAGCAGGAGTGCAGCAAAGCAACATGTGCTTGGTGAAGGTAGCCCAGGACCAAATGGACCTTTCTGCTCGTCCTCAGTCTGCTGATTGTTTCATGATCTTAATGCAGAGTTTATGTTCCGACTCATGGTCCCGTTGAGAGTAAGACAGACAACAAACATGTGACTACGCTGGGGTTAAAACGCTGTTGAAATGTGCACAAACGTGCGGTGATGGAGCGTTGCTGAAATCACCTGACAACAAGCAAAATAACCACGGACAGTGGAAAGTGGGCGTGTCCACTTGAATCAAAGCCACGAGTGGCAGTGGGAATGCCTCCCTCAGTATCATGAAAATGAGGTTCTGTTCAAGCATGTCATGGCAGGAGTGCTATACTTACCTGGACACTGACTCATGTGCTTTTTTAGACCGTTACCCGTCCTGTAATTTGGACCATTTTCATCTCAACAACGTCACATGTCACCGATTCTGGTAAACTTGACCTGAGCAGACTTGTGTGTCCGAGCTGAGCCCGCTGTCACGTCAACAACAGGCAAACAACAGCGGGGTCAGGTGGTTCACAGTGTGCACACTCAGTGATTCACTGTGTTTCAGAGTGGCTGCTTTTAGACAAGACACCAAATTAACTAAATTGGCGTGTCCAAACCACTCCCTCTCTCAGCAGTGCACAAACACACAAACAGCCACCGCTGTCAGACTACCGTAATCTCCTTATCCCGTTCTGGCCTTATTCGGCTCTTTTCTCTCCGTGTCTCAGTCAAGTCATAATGATTATTATCATTATTACCATTATGCCATGTCTGTGTCTCAGCTAAAGCCTATACTTTCCATTTGACAAGTATGTTTTTTAGCAACACCCTGCTTTGCACCATTTCTGTGTTCTTTTGTGGAACGTAGCAACTACAGCGAGTACCCAGGCGCCACGTCGGGCTCACAAACACAGACGTGCGACAGGAACGCCACCGCATTCTCTTCCACACAGATTTTCCTTTACCGTTCGTGGATACGCAGCATTAAACTCCTCCCACTACCTACAGTGAGGTGTTAGTGCAGCTGCACAGAAACATTTCTTGCGAACACACTATCCTCAGTGATTGTGTGCGGTGTGATCCTGCACGGCTGGTTACAACACTCCGTCTGATACAGGCTGATAAAGTCTCTGACTCGGACAAAGAGCGCTCCACTTATCCCTGCAGCGTGGACCCCGGCCTCTGGGACAGCATCAATGCATTTGCTCTTTGAGTCCATGTAAAGCTGCACACTTTGCATAAATTGCATTCTGTGATTTCATCCAGTGTTCGTCACTAATCTGGACTGATGAAGCGTTCTGGTCCAAGAGTAGCAGTCTTGTTTTGCATTTGGCAAGAGTCGGTAGCATCACTGGTAGCATGGAGCAATATCTCAACGCTACAGGTTAGTCCAGCTCCTCCATCAGTGCATGTCATGCAAGAGGCTTGTTGCATCTCCCAGCAGAGTCTGACGAGCATGGAGGAGATCCCAGAGGACAGGGCCGTAGAAGAGCCTTAACCCATCAGCAGGACCGGCATCTGCTCCTTTTGCAAGGACAAACAGCATGCCCACAGCCCACTGGTGTGAATGTCCAAACAATCAGAAGCAGACTTTATGGAGTGGGCTGAAGGCCCAGCATCCACAGGTGGGCCCTGTGCTGAGCCGACTAACATTTCCTCAGAATAGCAGAGCTGGCAGGTCCAGCCTTAGCACCCTGTGCTTTAACAGACAGGAGCAGGTTCATCCCTGGACGATGAACTGAGACCACCTTGGCCTAAATCCAGCAGAACGCCTCATCGTTTCTAATAGAGTTAAATGTTTGTCATTTTTATGTTTACCATTTGTACAGTGTTTAACTCTGGTGAAAGAAATTCCACTGTCCTTCCCCCCAGATTCTCGAGGTTCTGGTGGGGGCTGTAATGTTTTATTGCAGATA